TTCACCATCCGTCTGATGTGATCTCCCATCTTAAGTACATACAGCTGCTTCAGGGACCTCCATCTCATAGATACTTTCTCTAGTAGAGTCCTTAGGAAGGATGATGAGCAGACTTCACAGCTGTACTGTGTTGCCTTACAGACTTGAATCCTGCTTCCTCACCTGAATTGGCATAACTACTGGGGGGAGAGAGAGAGAGAGAGAGAGAGAGAGAGAGAGAGGTTACATTGGGTGCAGTCGTAGTCCCCAGTGTCCCATTGATCTTTTGAATACTGTAGCAGAAGCTTTGTTTTGATGATGGATTTTGATGAGAGACTAGTTCCTTGCTGCACTTAAAAGATCCTACAAAGGTATTAATGCCTACAGTATACCTTTCTGCAATGCTGCATTACGTAATTGTAGACTAGAGCGTACATTTAATAGCGTACTCCTGACATGGAGTGTATCACACTGAGATCTGCCACCTGGAGCTGAAGTCTTTCATTTTGCCAAATTTTTGGTATGACACTTCTTTTGCTAAACTAGCCTTAGCTGACAGCTGTTTTTCCCCAGCCAGAAGTTATTTCGATTGTTAGTTTGTGTGCTAACAAAGCAATTCTGCATTTCCCTACTAATATCCTGTAGAAGAGACAACCTGTATCCAATATTTTCAGTAATGAACGTAACAGTAAATATACCACAAGAGCTCATTAATCTAACTCTGCTTTCTAACCAAGAGGGAGCTCTTGTTTCTCAGGAGACCATTTCATCTCTAAATCTGGACTAGATAAGAATAGAGAGAAACATATTGGCCTTTTCTCCTAGTGCACATAAATTAATGGTGTAATTGCTGTCAATTTGACGAGCCTAGGACTGGAATGAGCACTGCTGCACGCAGCTGACTATGTAGTGCCCTCCCTAGTTCCCTCAGCCGGTGGTGTGCAACCCACTGTCTTCCTGGGGGTCACTGACCGCACAGCCGCCAACGGCCAGACCCCAGCCCCCGGCTGCCCGGATCTAAGCGCCACGGCCACCAATGACCAGGCCCAGCAATGGGGGTTGCGGTTGAAAAATGCTGTGCACCACTACCCTAGGCTAATGAAGCTGGGAGAGAATACCAAAACTATAATACAGCTGGGAACTAGTGACAGATTCTTCAGACTTAAGTTGTTACACAACCTAGCTCCACTAAGATAATGCATGGTTCATTTAAATTCTTAGGGAGTTTTGAAAGTTTTATCCCTTACCTATTTAAAAAGGCTGTGTTTGCACTGCCACTTTCAGTGCTAAAACTTTATTCATTCAGGGCTGTGAAAAAACTCACCCTTAGCAATAAGTTTTAGTGCTGAAAAGTGCCTGTGTAGACAGTGCTTTCTTGTCAGGAGCAGTATTTCCTCTAAGCACAGTAATCAGCCCCGCCCAGGAGGTGCCTCTGTAAAGCTGTGCTGCCCTGCAGCTGAGAGGGAACATTGGTCAGAAGTTTGCACTGCTCTTTTGGGGGAAGAGGGTGGCTTATTGCTGAGAGAGTTCTGCCCGGGGGGGGGGAGGGGGTAGCGACTACACTGCATGGCAGTGTTGTAACATGGGCAGTGTAGACATGCCCAAGAAAAAGCTAATAGTATAAAATCTTGTCTTAAGTATAGTGTTAAAAATCCTGTATTGGATATTGATTTTTTTTTAAATGCTGGACTTTTTATTTATTTATTCAGTTGTAGGCATTATTGCTATTCTGCATGAGCAATCTGTACATTTTCCATATGAGTTTTAAGGCATTTCTCTCACTTGCATGTGTTTGTAAAAAGCAAAAGCCCTGGCAGCAGGACAGCTGACAGTTTTGCTCATTCATTGTCCCCCCCCCCCCCCCCCCCCCCCCCACCCTCTCCCC